TCCCTATCCGTCTGTCAAGAACTTCCTTCTCTTTTCTTTTCTTTTTCTTTTTTTTTTTAGTTTTTTCCAGACTATGTGTGTGTCTGCCAGAGGAGGAGTGGGAGAAAGCACCTCCCCAGAGGAGCCTGATTATGGTGTGATCCTGTCTCCTCCATCTCTCCATCCCCTCAGGATTTTGGGTACACACATGCCGGGTGTGTTTCTCCAACCATAGAGTCAGCCGTGTGGGATCCAGCTTCCCCAACCAACAGAGCCAGCTGGGGGTGTGTTCTTTCATTTTAAGAAATATTTAAAAAATTTGATTTACTGGGACCAGCAGTTAGCATCATGGCTATGTCGCTGGACTTCCATGTAGTTGACCGCAGTTTGAGTCCCAGACCCAGTGGCTTAAACTCACTCTGGGCACTTGTGCGTGTGTGCCCAAGATTCCAAGAGGAGAACGGAGGAGAAGGGATTGTGGTGTGGTCATCCCCCCTGGGGTGTGATTTCTCTCTGTCTTCCTGTCTGTCTCTGTCTTTCTGGCGAGCGCAGGTGCCCTGTAGCAAAAACCTCTCCAAAAAAAAAAAAATTATTCTTAAATTTGACCAGAACGAGACACAGAAAGAGAGGAGAGGGCAAGTAAGAAGCAGGCTGCCAGGTCTGGGAGTCAAACTGTGGTCAACCAGGTGGGAGTTCAGCACCTCAACCACCACACCACCTGCTGGTCCCAAAAGTGTGTTCTTTTTTAACCACTCAGGGCACTGTACCCCACCATGTGGATGTACCACAGTTTATATATCCTGTCTCCTATCCACAGACACTTGCGTTATTTTCCCTTTTCTGCTCCTTGAGAAAACACGGCAGTGGATCTCCTTGCTCACACGTCATCCTGCACGTACGAGGCTATTTGTCAGCAGACCAAGTCTGGCTGCTGCATCCAGGGTGGGATACCCTCCTTCCTCTCCTTGCTGAACTAGACCTCCATTTTAAAAGGGTGAGCCTCTCAACTCCTGTCAGAGTTTGTGCTCACAGAGAGCCCAGGATCTGGCTTCCTTGGAAGACATAAGTACAGGGAAATAAAGACGGGGGAGGCTGAAGACAGGGAGTCAATCATTCCAGATGATTCTTACTGTGGAATCTGACTTTTCTCGGGGTAGCCAAGTCCCTGCTGAAGGACAGTGCTGTTTTGCCTTCCCACAAGTTATGTAATGAACGTCCTTTGATGAAATAGCTCCCAAAATAAAGCCGTCCTTGGGCTCCTAGGCCTCCTGACACAGAGAAGGAAAGTTCTCCAAAGATACCGTCCACTGCAGCCCAAGCCTTTCTTTGCTCCATCTTCTCAGTGGAGCCCATGCTCACCACGTCTAGCACAGGACCACCCACGCAGAGTCCTGTGGAGTGTGAGGAAGTCTCAGGCCACCCATGTTGGGATGGAGAGGGTGTGTGTGCATTCCTATGGTGTTCGTTTGCAGTAGATGCTCATGGGTGCATGCCACCAGGATGCTGCAGGCACCTAGCCAGTCCCTGTGCTGTTCATTTCAGCACTCTTGCATTTTGTCTGTCCTTTGCATTTTGGCCCACATCCCAGAGGATCTTGAGGCTCTGTGGACACTAAAATGGGCCCCATCTGACACATGAAGCATCCAATCTGGCTTTGTGCACACCGTGCAGTAAGTCATGCCTGTGTGTTAACCAGAACTTTGGTCACTGGCTTTGGAAGTGCAGCCCACTTAGCTCAAGAAGATAATTTCTTGCTTCTGGTCAGTTGGTGGCATGGTGGGTAAGGTAGATGGATCCCACATGGCTGCCTGGGCAGCTTGAGTCCTAGACCCAGGGGCTTGAAAAACATGCCAGGTGCATGTGTGTGTGTACCCAAAGTCCCAAAGGGAGAAATGGAGGAGAAAGGATAGTGGCATGACCATCCCCCATGGGGGTACTTTCTCACTTCCTCTTTTTCTCTCTTTCTCTCTCTTTTTCTAGTGAGGACATGTGTCTTCTAACAAACTGAAAAAAAATTTGTTGGCTCATCCAACAAGGCCATGGAAAGGGAAGGACAGTGTTGGCTTCAGGGAAGGCTGGATGGAAGGATCTAAATGTTTCTGGCACATTCTCTGCCCATCTCTCCTCTCTGCTGGTCTGTATGAGTTGGCTTCGTTCTCTCCAGTGGCAGATAGGCTCCATATGTCAGGAAATGTCTCCATCCGTGGTTCCAAGCTTCATTCCAGTAGCACCAAAAATCAGATCTGGCTTTACAAATCTCAGAAAGAAACTCCGATGTGCTGGTTTGGGTCTTTTCCCAGTCCTCGGGCCAGCTGCTACAGCCAGAGGGGTGAGGTACTGTCTGGCTGGGCCCGACCTAGATCCTTGGACCACTCTTGAGGTTGGGAGCCACTTGTGATCAGG